GGCGGAAGTTAGTTTTTAGAAATAAAAAATTTGATGGCAGATAAAATGGCAGCCCGGTTACCATGGCTGTCTGGTGTCTACCACGTCATGGTAAAGTAAAGTTCGACAAGGGGATGAATAGAAAAGAAAATTCGGATCACCGAGGGTTCCGATATTCAACGATACAAATAGAACATAGATATTTTGTAAATATATTATTATTATTATTATTATTATTATTATTATTATTATTATACTATATTATGTCACGATAACTGTTCGAAATGCGGTTTTAGCTATATTTTGAGTCGTTGAATAATATCGGGTGATCACGGTTGGTCACCAAGACGTGTGTATAAGTTCGAGACTGTCCGACAGTCATCTGAGAGACATCAACACTAAGTGTTTATGTGTGTTGGTCTCGCCTGACCCTTTCCGGCAGTGGCGACGGTCAGTGTCTGGTCGTCGGCACACACGCAAACGTCTTACATTATATACCTAAGTAAAGAACAGTCGATTGATTGGCCGGTTTTCCTTTTGGCGGCGTGGTCGTCAAAGGGTGTGTGTGTGTGCGCGCAGTTGAGGGTATGGGTTATAGAGAGGAAGGGAGGGAGGGAGGGAAGTGCAATCAATTAACCGAGCGGCGTAGAAAAATTGGCTTTTGGGCGAGGCATTCGGCGATACGATGTGCATGCCATTAATCCCTCGCACACGAACGTGACGACGACGACGTCGTCGACGAATAAGGCGGAAAACCATTATCGGAGTTGACTTTTTGATTGACACGCCACAACCACGACGTGGACCGAGAAATTTAATTTACTTATCGGAATCGATTCCTGCGCCGTATAACAATAATAATACTACATAATAACAATAATGACAACACGGTTGAATCAACGGCGAAAGAGCCTAGAATAATACTGTGCCTTATACAGGGTGTTGCCCGATAAATGTGTCAAACTTAGGTGTTTCTACACCTCAAATGGAACAAAAAAATCCTTGTGAATATAATCGAATTATCAATAATAAGGTTAATAATTTCCATGTTTGTGTTTTTTTGTTAAACGTAAGTTTGATTCATAATAATGTTCATATCTGCTAAGCCGTAGGTACTACAATTAATTTGATTACATTGAATAACACACATTTTTTCTAACTTTAAAATGTCTAAATTTTAAAAAATTTCAGATTTATCCTACAACAATTTTTTTTTAAAGCAGGTGGGTGCTAATTTCAAAAAAACTTCAAAATGTTATACACTTTTCAGCCGTGTACTCCATTTTTCGTTAAACCTTTCTAAAGGGCCGCTATTCCACCGTGTGGAAAAATCGGGAAAAACGTAAACAAATTCTAAGCAATAAATGCAAACCCTGGTAAACTGATTTTTTTAAAATGTCGACATTTTAAAGTTATAAAAAATGTGTGTTATTCTTTTTACCCAAAAAATCAGGTAGGAATCTTGTAAGATATGTTTTCCTAATCCCAATTACATGAGCTTTTCATCGATGTATTTAAATTAATTGTATTACCTACGGTTTAGCAGGTATGACAATTATTATGAATCAAACAAAAAAACACAAACATAGAAATTATCACCTTTATTATTGATAATTCGATTATGGTCACAAGGACTTTTTTGTTCCATTTGAGGTGTAGAAACACCTCCAGAAATTTGACACATTTATCGTACAACACGATACGTACCTGGGCAATACGCGTATAATTAATTATAAGAATTAATTATAAGTAAAAATGGAAAATCGCAGTTGGGGTACAAAAGCTATTGATCCGCACGTAGTCGCAATTAGTGTTTTTTTTTGGGGGGGGGGGGGGGCGGCAAAGCCTTACCTTTATAATATTGAATAAGATTAAAACAAAATGTACGAAATGTTTGGGGGCTTAGCCCCTAAAGCCCTCCCCCCCCTATTTACGCCATGTCTCTGAACCTGAATAATTTATCGGGATTACGGGTTTCTTCGGGTGCTTCAGAATAAAAAAAAGTGGGTCAAAAGTTTGAGTGTTATAATAACCAGTTTGATATAAGTATTAAAGCTTCGAGGTCCAGTTCATTAAGGTTCGGTATAGAATTGTACCAGCTGTAGTAGTCCGTTTACATGATTATTGCTACACCAATTTGCTGATTTAAGGTTTATTCCAAATATTTTTTTTATAAATGACTTTGGCGTACAGTACAGTTAAATGTCGATTTGGTACATATAGGTACGCGTAACAGAAGTGAACGAAAAAACTTAACCAACCCAATACATTTTTCTCGGTTTCGTGTTTGGCAGAGTTTTTTGATTTGTAAAAATATCGAATATAGGACTAACTATATTTTAGGTTTTTTTACAACCTATATTAATTTCTAATGGTAACACACTATGTTCAAATAATAGAGTGTGCCGCTCAATTTCCAGCTGCAGACCTCTCCACGCGCACTCCGCTCTTCAAGAAAAGACGTCGGCCCTAAATCGTTTCCGTCGTATTATTTGGGTCTGCAAACAATGGTTGGATTCAAAGGAAGCGTAGTGTTTGGACGACGACGAAACAAGATCCGACGCCTTTTCCGGCACGATGGTGTAAACAAAAAAAAAAAATGCGAAAATAACGCAATTGTATTAATATCGTATACAGTATATAATATGGCGACGTTTTAAAATTGCGACCCAAAATAAAGTATAAAAATAATAATAATAATATGCGAAATAAAACTCTTCTTCCCGGGCTCCACCGACGTCACTCGTCAATAGAATAATACAGCCGATGTAAATGTCCGAGGTGGTTGTATTATAATTAGGGAAAGGATTTTAATTTAAATAAATATTTTTATGTAATAATAGCATCGGAAAGTTTTCGATATATGTATACGTTTCATTTAATTTCAAGTAATCTGATGCTAATTTTATTTTAAATATTTTTAAATATTTTAGAATAATTAAATATTTTTAAATATTTTAGAATAATTACATTTTAATTATAATTTATAATATAACAATTTACATTACCGATGGCGTCATATCATTTATGTTGATATTTTACAAAAAGTGCAGCCGACCCGTTAATACTGTCCGACTATAGAAGTTGTGAAAAAAACAAGTTTTAATCAAACAAAAGATAAAAAAAAACCTTAAGTCAGCCAGCTCTGCGACTCACTGGTATTAATATTATCGGCTAGGCCACGTGCACATTTTTATATTATTTTATATGTGGCTCAGTCAAAACATAGATTTTGAAAAATTCCGTTTGATAGGTATGGAAAGCTCAGTTGGATCCAAGACCCGGTACAAACGCTTGTCAGTAGATAAAATCATAAACATATATTTCGTTTGAAATAAAAACCAGATCGGCTTGGTACGACTTGATGACCCCATAACTGAAGGGTACTGGGTACATAAGTACATTATCGTGCCATCGTTCAGTCGGCCGGCCAACTTGGTATTTTATTCGTAAAAACGAATTCTAGACGATGATGGTATGACTATCATGGTATCATGTACCTGTTGTGCGAATCCAGGTTTAAAGTCCTCGAGGGACAGCAATACCGACAGTGGTTTCTGCTCCGGTCAACGATACCACGCTGAACTCCTCAGAAGAAAGTCGTAAGAGCTTTACAACACGATTTATTTGGGGACTATAAAATGGCCAAATAATATATATTCCAACGCGTAGTCTCTTTTAAAGACTCAGTATTCGGGTACTCAATAATAACAGGTTAAGACGGACACTTTCATTTGACTGCAGTATGGCCCATAACTCGTAATACACCTCTGACCAGGGCAACTTGAGACAACAATATGTTTCTCTTTTGTGCCCAGACTATTATTGCTTCTGTCATGTCCCATGTTCCAATATGTATGATAATATGTTTCTTTTTTTAATTTCAAATAGGTAATATAAAATATTGAAACCGGTTTGGCGTTTGTTAGGTTATTTAATAATATTAATAAATAAATGATTAGTCGTGAGTGAGTGGGGCATTTAGATCTGAATTTCATTATTTTCGTCTTTCTCACTCACGGCTATTATAATATATTATAATATTTATAATCATAATATTATATAAGTACTACATAATACACTAAAATTGTAATCGTTATTATAAGCGCTCACATACACCCACACACACACACACACACACACACACACACACACACACACACACACACACACACACACATCACAACACAACAACACCGCAATAACAACTATAATAATTATCTTGTAATGACGACCGAATAACAACGACTATTATAATTATATTACAATATATTCACAGTATGAAATAGCTGTGACGAACCGTCCCTTCGTCTGTCGTGGGTCACGTCTGTAGCGTATCTCTCTCTCTCTCTCTCTCTCTCTCTCTCTCTCTCTCTCTCTCCCTCCTGCTACCCTCCCACGCTGTTTAGTTCAGTAGGCCGGAACGAAAATTAATTTTGAAATACGGTTTAATCAAAACTTCTACTTCAATTAATCATAAAACACGCGCTCACACTATATTATATTCATTGTTCCCCGAAAAATAAAAACAAATACGCCATCGCCGCACTACTGTTATATGTTATATATAATAATATAATAATTTATAATTATTTATAATAATTTGTACTAATTTGTTTGTTCTTGCCTTGTTTGTTCTTGTGCAGTAAAAACCGCCCTTTCTGCATGGACCTTAAAACTCTCGTATGGCTATTTCGACGCCCGTACAGCTCAGTTCGATTCTCATTCGAAATGAAATATTCGACTCGGTGGGGTTCGGGTAAAGCCGCGCATACACTAGACCCGAACCGGCCGGACCGACCGAACCGAAAAATATTCGGTCCGAAGTTTTTCGGGTATAGCTGCATTGAGTGTCCCCGAATTTTCGTTCCGAAAACAAAGTTAATAGCTAAATAGATAATTAAATAATCATATTATGTCGTGACTTGTGATAATAACTAGAGTAAACCATATATTGTATCTTCTACAATCAGTTTTCGACAGTTGACGAATGCATCGCATGGTGTGCAGTTGTAAAAAATATGGAATATAATAGTTCTTCAGATGATGAATGGGATTCATTTTTATTAGAGAGCCCGATCTTCAAATCACGGAAAAGATATTGGGTGCATGAACTTTGGCAACAACGAGATGATAGTGGCGAATTTCAAAATGTGTGCACTATTATAAAAAATTACCCATCAAAATTTTATAATTACTTTCGTATGGATATATCAACGTTTGAATATATTTTAAATGCCATAAAAAACGATTTGACAAAATATTCAAATTTTAGACGCTGCATTGAGCCCGAAGAAAAATTAGCTGTTACTCTCAGGTAAAGTTATTTTAATTTTATTAATTTAAAATTTAAAAATTTATCAAATATATAAATATTAATTTTTAAATAAAATATAGGTATTTAAATATTCAAAGAGAAAAAAAATATTATAAATTACTGTAACTACTATAATCAGAATTATAGACTATATTAACTTTTATTATAACTTATTATTTAAAATACTATTATTATTAAAAATATTGTACATTTACATAACTTTATATTAATTATTGACACTCGTTTGTAACTATTATTTATAAATTAGTGTACGAATATTGGCAATCTTGAACAACAGATGATTTTTCATAATTTTTATTATACAGTAATTGCGGCTGTTGCGTATAATCTGAATAGCCAGATGCACTGGAACTTCTGCTAGGTGTCATTTCTTCCGATCCAAGCGTTTTGGTGATAATACTGAGTACTTCCATTCTAACTTTCATCTTTTTTAATGAATCCATTTTTTTAAAACTTGGCAACAAACTCATTAAAAAGTGGTAATCTTCATCACTATCAGCATTCTTTTTCGTTTTAAGACGTTCTTCAAACAGTTTTATTTTTTTCCGTTCGATTTCTATTGCTTCTGTTTGATACGATTTACGTTTCGAATGTTTCCTATATTGAGGTGTTGTACTTTGCACATTAGGAATATTATTCAACCCAACTTCTTCATCTTCGTGTTCATTTTGTTCAACATGTTCATCTTCATCAGTTAAATCAAGTTCGCTGTTATTATCAGAATCGTCGAGTGTGGGAATTATAGGGTCTCGAGGTATATTGGTCGCTGTATTTCTAGGTGTCATATTATCTTTCAAAAATAACAACTGATTAAAATATGGCCATTTTGAGGATTGTGGTGTGAATCCTTGTCCAGATTTAGGTTTAGGCACTTTCTTAAACTCTTTTCTAAACGTGTCTCTTAAACCTTCCCATTTTTTCTTCGCTTCTTCGGCTAAAATGCATTACATATTATATATATTAAATTTCAGTAATTATACTTAATTAATTAAATTGTTTGATTAATTTGGTTAAGTATGTAGTAGGTATGTTTATATTGAGTAATATGTTATATTCATTAATATGTACTATATTGTAAAAGCCGTAAAAAAAAATATCAACACATTTAAATAATGTTTAGTATATGTTTAGTTAAGATTTTATATAATATTTTAAATATTTTGCAGATATTTATCAACTGGTATGTCATTTCGAGCATTAGCACTTTGCTTTAAAATGCATAATACTACGGTTGGTGCAGTTGTATATGAAGTATGTGACGCAATATGGAATAGACTATCGACAACACATTTATCTATTCCAACTCCAGAAGATTTTTTAAGTATAGCAAATGAATTTAATGTGAAATGGAACTTCCCACATTGTATTGGCTGTATAGACGGAAAACATATACGTTTACGAAGTCCTACTCACTCTGGGACTATGTATTATAATTATAAACATTTTTTTTCCATCGTACTACAAGGTGTATCTGATGCCAATTATAAATTTATATTTGTTGATGTTGGAGCGTACGGAAAACAAAGCGACGGAGGAACATATGCATCATCAACTTTGTCAACTTTTATAAATAATGAAAATAATCTACCAAAATCATCTAATTTGGAGGGAACATCTGTAGAAGTACCGTTTTTTATGTTAGGTGATGACGCTTATCCATTAAAACATAATATTATGAAACCCTTTTCTAAACGACTATTATCAAAAGAAGAACGTATTTATAATTATCGTCATGCTCGTGCCCGTAGATGTGTAGAAAATGCTTTTGGAATTATGGTATCAAAATGGAGACTCTTGCATAAACCCATTGAAACAACAGTAGACAATGCAATTAAAATAGTTCAGTGTATTTGTCTTTTACATAACCTTATAATAGATAAAGAAGGGCAATCATGTGCACAAACACTAATATCTGCTGCGAGTTCGTATGAAAACGATAGAAATGAAAAAAATGTAAGGACAAATGTAATAAGACCATTTAATCGGAGTTCAAACTTGGCGACTTTCGTAAGAGATACATTAAAAAATTATTTTATTAGTCCTATAGGATCGATTTCATTTCAAGAACAGTATGCAAACGTTCAAAAGTAGTTTAGTTTAATTGTAGGTATAATACTATAATGAGTAATGACTATTAAGTATTATGTTAAAATTGTATTATTACTTGTATTGTATAGGTATTATTATTTATTATTATTATTATTTTTGATAATTTAGCTACATTTATTATTATAATTGTATAACTTTAATCTTTTGATTACAAAACAAATTTCTTTTTATAATTAATATTAATATAAGTTTAAATAATGCATTACCTGTTGTACCCAGATTTGTAGCAATACGTGTCCATATTAAAATTTTTTCATCTCTATTATGGTATTTGTCATGTTTTTGATTCCAAATTTGGTTTTCCGCAAATACTAAACTTATGAGTCTTTCTTTTTCAAATTTTATAGATGACATCTTAGCAACTCTCACGTGCGACGTATTTACAACTACTAAAATACTTAGTTAGTACGACTACATTATCGAAATACCAATGTGAAACGGTTGATAAAATTGTAGATAAAACGCACGTTTTCAAAACAAATATACTAAAATATCACGATTAGATATATCTAAAGTACTTAATACTAGGACATAGTAGATAATGGGTTATAGGTACACAACGATGTTATTAAAACACCAAATGTGATATGACCACAATATTTCATTTATTAGCGTCTCAAATCAAGAGGTAGGACCTATACATAGAATAGTACCGCTAATTTTCGGCCGAAAAATTCAAACATGTTTGAACGGTTGAAATCCGAACCGACCCGAATTTCGGTTCGGGCTATCGGTTCGGTACAAGTGTATGCACTCACATATAAAATCGGCATTTTGATTTTTTTCGGTTCGGTCGGTTCGGGTCTAGTGTATGCGCGGCTTAAGCCAAAAAATATCACAAATTTTAACATGTATAATATCGTGGTTCCATCATAGGAGGTTAATGACGAATTGTCCATACTATATTAGTACCATGACAAAATAGACGGGTATCATCACAGTTTTAATAGATTTTTATTTCAGTACCTATGCAGATCTTTGCCTCCGGTCCATTTCGTAATTCTCCAGTTCTGATTGGTTGATTTTTTTATATGTTATATATATATATATATATATACTGGGTGATTCTTTTATCAAACAACACTCATTATTTCAAAAAGTGTAAATTTTTTTGAAGATATTTTTTACATAGTTTCAAGTCGCTTATGAAACAACGTTTTTATTAAAAAATTATATTTTTAATTATTTTTTATCCTTATAATTTTTTAAGTTTTTTACATTTTTGAATGACAACATAGGGTTTTAATTTTATATTCTAAAGTAGAATATTTTTCTTAGTATTTTGATACATAAAAATTGAATTTGGGGCGAGTAGTTTATGAGTTATAAGTATTTAAAGTTTAGACGGTGAAGTGGACAAACATTTCGCGGGGTAACCCCGAACCACTCCACTCCGCTCGTCTAAACTTTAAATATTTATAACTCATAAACTACTCAACCCAAATTCGATTTTCATGTATCAAAATACTAAGAAAAATATTCTGCTTTGGAATATAAAATTAAAACCCTATGTTGTTATTCAAAAAAGTAAAAAACTTAAAAAATTATAAGGATAAAAAATATTTAAAAATATAATATTGTAATAAAAACGTTGTTTTATAAGCGACTTGAAACTATGTAAAAAAATATTTTCAAAAAAATTTACACTTTTTGAAATAATGAGTGATGTTTGATAAAAGAATCACTCAGTATACATGCATATGATTGAAGGCCAATAATAAGACTAAGAGAACTACTTCATAGGACAATTAAAGAGCAGATGATGCGTATCAAGAAACTGTGATAATATACATCCCTGTCTTTTGTCATGGTAGGTATACCTATACGATATTTAAAGAACATCAAATATAAAATAATTAATCTACACGGACGAACACGATGAAACACCTTACCTACATAATATTATACTAGACAGTGTAGTATATATCGTGTTTGTTTGTGCGTAACTTTCCGGGTCTTGCGACTTATATAGGTACATCAAGTGGGTATACACGCGTGTGTGTTTAAATTAGAAATTTCCTAACCCTATTATTGCTGCAAAACAGCGCTATGGCTCAATGGCTGTATAATATTATATATGTAATAAATAGTCTCGTGTTTGTCACGACACGCCACCTGTTTTGGTTTATTATGAATTAACAATGACTGGTAATAATAATAATAAAAAAAAATACAACCTATTGTATTTTGAAAAGAAAAGTTCAAACTAGGGGTGGTCGTAAGCTAGTCGTACTTCATAATGTTATTTTACAGTTATTACTGTACAAAAGTTTATGATCGTATACGTAAAGAGTATATTGTAACATATTAGTATCGAGTCTAAATTTAAAATGAAAATAATATAGTGAACTCACCGTTTAGAGCCCTCGTTATCTATCACTGCACACGCATCTTCTCCATGCAGATAATACGCATAAGGACAAATAGAGAACGAAAATCTCACCACACTGTTATAATGACGGTAGACAAACCAGAAGATGGCTAAACTTTTTTTTCAAAAAATGCATAAATGAATTACACAAAGGCGACGGAGAGGCAATATATTGGTTGTGCAGTCTTGTTGTTAGCCTTAAGATGATTCTTTGTTATATATTATAACTAGCTGATCCCGTGCACTTCGTCGCCCATTAAAAATACCAACTCTATAATATGAATAATATGTTTTATTTTATAATATAACAATTACCATAACAACAATTTTAAACCAATTATTATTATAATAGCTTCAAAACCCATGACAACTATTTACAAACAAAAATTTCCATCGGAAATCTCAAAATCCCTGTTTGAGCACCTCCCGGGGTTGGTCCTCTTCCTTTTTAAATTAGTCTATCTTCTGCAAAGAGATCTAATCTAACTCTGTACCAAATTATCCCGTGCACTTCCTTTCCCGGTAACCAATAAGTATTATTATAATAGCTTCAAAACCCATGGTAACAATGGTAACCTGGGTAATATTGTCTATGGGTATTATCATGGACATTATCTATGGACACACACACACACACACACACACACACACACACATACATTCATTTTTATATATATATAGATTCATCGAATTGTTCCTAACCATATTTCAGTCTAATCCTGTTAAGTGTGTCTACAATTTTATATTATATTTTCATGTTAATTTTGTATGTGTGTATCCCAATTGGTTTGACCAACATTAATAAGCCACATGAATAATAATATTAACAATAATACAAATTACATATTATAATAATATAAACCGTGAGAACTTGGAAATTGAAATTTTTCTCAGCTACATGTAGCAGTTCTAAAACGAACAAAAATATAAATTATAATATATCGTATAATTATGGCAAGGGTTTTTTTTATTATTGTATAGAGCTGTGAAGTTAATGAAATGTGTTCTAAAATCTTAAATGACAAAACGTGCAGTTCAAAGGGGAAAAATAACAACCAAATAACATACATTTTATAATCTACTCAGATTATTTTCGGTCATAGAGTACTTCCCAAGTCTTGTTAGACGTAGGTACAACATAAATTATGTATACGAGTACGATGATGAGTCATTTCTTCACAGTGTCCATATAGTAATACATTATATTATATACCTATAATTAACTTATTCTATTTGATAATAATTATTGAGGGGACTAAGTGGCTGAGTGGACCGTCGCCTGTTCGAACCTTGGTCACGGATGGCATTTCTCTCAGAGCAGTCACGGTGTCTGGAGCGAGAGGCCGCCATCCCTCAAACGGGCATGTCAGATACCTTATACCCCACTGTGCCCACTTGAAAATTCTGCCATAATAAAACAAACGTGTTTACAAAAAACCTACAGTACCCTTTCCCATAGTTAAAAACCACTCAATGGCGTAAGTTGCCATGGGTTAATTAATTAAAAAAAAGAAAAATAATTATTGAGATGTGTTCATTCGCTATAACTAGACCGATTGTAATATGACGCGAAGGTGTACAATGAGTATTAAATACAATTTTGTATATTTTTAATATTTTAGTTATTTCCAAAAAACGATAATTCATTATACAATTATTACGTATTATAACAGTAGCAGATTAAAATTACAGTCGAGTGTGAGCCGATTTGACGAGCGATTTTCTGAAATCGAAAGTAGCACATCACATAACTTTAGCCGACATCATTTATTTGTTTCGCGTGTTGTTGCGGATTACACGTGTGTATAAAGTTCACCTCGGAAATCAGAATCGTATTCAATTATTCAAACAGACGAGTGGAATGCGAATAGTCGTAGAATGTTCACCTGACGACCCTTCTATTCGTATAAAACATGTGACGGATATAGCGTCTAAATTATATATTATGAAATTAAACCTCCTGCACGCACACGGCATCCGGATAATTTTTTAGTAGCTGATAATAATATAATGTATACTTGTATACAATAGGTAGGTAAGTATTATCATAATAATATACTCTTATAAGGCCTTTTGATCTTTTAAAAAAAGAAAAATCATAATAAAAAAATGTTGCTTAAAAATCAAACTATGAATATTTATTTATATTTATTAATAACTAGTAAGTAGTTAACAATTAAAAGTGATTTCATAAAATATCATACATACATCAACATTTTCAAGAAAAATTTTGAATATTTTAATAATAATATCACGTATATGTAGTTTATTATTTACAAAGAATATAATATAAGCTTAAGTCTAATTCCATTTTAATCAGTTACCAACATTTTTACAAAAAAATTCGGTACTGCAGATAATTTTGACTTGTATAATCATAATAATATCATAACTATTTTTACCCTCTTTCTGAAAATTAAGAATTTGTGACTTACTTTTTCTATAATATTACACGTATACTTTAATCAGGAAGTAAAATTACAATTTTCAATTTAATTGTATTTCGTGCACTTTAATTAAACGACTATAAATTGACTTCCACGTACAATCGGTGAACGCGCTCAACCTGAGTCCAGTTTTTCTTTTGTAAAGCAGAGCATGAAATGTTTAC